GTATGCATCTGTCTTCATACATAATCTCTCTCTCTCTATAAAAGCCTAAGCGACCAGCCCACCGGACATGCACTGACCAGCAGGGGGCAGATGCTCAATGCAGGAGCGGAAACCACAGGCATGGAAACATGAAACAGACTGATGAATCTCAGAGGGAAGGGGAAGGGGGGAGGGTGGGAAGAAATTAAACAAAGGTCTTATAAACTTACTAGAGGCCTGGTGCACGGATTTGTGCACTGGTGGGGTCCCTAGGCCTGGCCTGTGGGAATAGGGCCAAAACCAGCAGTCCAACATCCCCCGAGGGGTCCCGGATTGCAAGAGGGCACGGGCCAGGCTGATAGACCCCACCTGTGCATGAATCCATGCTCTGGGCCTCTAGTTATTACAATATTACTAACTACATTCCCTCTGCAGTAATTTACATTCCATGACCATTTGTAGCTCCAATTTTGTACTTCTTAATCTCTTCACCCAGCCCCCAAACCCATTCCCATGTGACAACCACCAGTTTGTTCTCTGTATCTATGAGATCGTTTGATTATTTATTTTGGTTTTTAGATTCCACATATAAGTGAAATCATCTGGTCTTAGTCTTTGTCTGACTTATTTCCCTTAGCATATTTCCCCTCTAGGTCCATCTGTGTTGTTGCACATGGTAAGAGTTCATTATTTTCTATGGCCGAGTAATATTCCATTGTATACATGCACCACCACTTTTTTAAATCAAATTATCTACTGATAGACACTTAGGTTGTTTCCATACCTTGATTAATGCATATGAAATGTCCTTCTCTGTCTCTTGGTATAGCCTTAGTTTTAAAGTCTACTTTGTCTGAAATAAGTATTGCTACCTGCACTTTTTAGATATCCATTTACATTTAAAGTAATTATTGATAGCTATGTAGGCATTGCCATTTAATTATTCACATTGTTGATCTTTCTGTTTCCCCTTCTTCTTCTTAAAGATGTCCCTTTAACATTTCTTGTAATACTAGCTTGGTGATGATGAACTCCTTCCTCTAGCTTTTTCCTGTTTGGGAAGGACAGGAACTTCTTAACACTAGGTTTATAAGATGCCCTCAAGAGTGAACTCATCTGGTGTCCTCTTCTTTATCTCATCCCTAGAACAAGGTACTTGAGAAATGAAAAGCAAAGTTCTTAGAAAAGCTATGCTTGCACTTGAGGCTGGCAATCATCATGATAAAGACTCCTTAAAACCTCTCAAATCAAAGGAAAGAAAACCGAGGAATGGTGATTAGTTCCCACAAATCTTGGGAGGCGGGCAGGAGGCTGTTAGGCATAAGGTATTGCCCAGAAAGTGAAGAGGATCTTTCCTAAGGGACAATCTTATTAAAGTGTCTTCTGGGAATGCTAGTATTTTATTTATTTATTTTTATTTAAATATATATTTTTTAAATGATTTCAGAGTGGAAGGGATAGAGATAGAAACATCAATGATGAGAGAGAATCACTGATTGGCTGCCTCCTGCATGGCCCCGACTACCGGGGGGTGGGGGGTGGGGGGTGGTATCGAGCTGTGTCCTTGGCCTGAATCGAACCTGGGACCCTGTAGTCCGCAGGCCAATGCTCTATCCACTGAGCCAAACCAGCTAGGGTGGGAATACTAGCATCTTAGATTCTCTTCCTTCCTAGCTACCCACCCTAGGTCCCCAAACAAAGAATCAGAGGCAGGGAAATGTTAAGAGGCTTGCATTATTGTCCATTGCACTATGTCTATTTCCAACCTGCCTGGCTGTGGGCATATGGTTCTTTACACAGAAACCTCCCAACATGACACAGGCACAGGGCAATTTCTCTCCTTCAGGTCCACTTCAGATGTTTCAAGACTTCTTTATTTCACTAATTATATCTCTAACCTCTAAATCTAAAAAGAAACTGGATTCATTACTGAGTATTCTGTGAAGGAGAATACAATAACTCAACGTCTCCTTGCATTCCTTCAGGTGAAAACACTACAGTGCAGAACACTTTTACACACTTTTACTTGTATCCCTTTTACGTTTTACGAAATCTTCCAAACATTGCTCCTTTAGTTCTTGACATTTTCCTTATATGTAGATGGAACCTGAAATTACTTTGTTTTCTTTCTTATAACTCAGGGGGTGCTGTTGAGAGCTCAGCCAGATACAGGGAAACAACACTCATCTGGTAAGTGCCTCAGAGAAGCCAGGAGAAGCAGAATATAATGTATGTTACTGTACCCACCAAGTCTTTTTGTGTGTGTTTTTTAGGTTTTGTTTTTTTTTTTTACACAGGAAGATTAATTTGACTTCTTTGGCTAAAAGATTTCTCTATGAATTGGAATAAGAGATGGCTTACAGTTGCCTTAAAATCTTTACACCAATTAATCATTATCTGCAGTAAGAAAAAAATCATCTCATTGCTATCTAGTTACTTTTATGGCCCCTTAATATAAGAAATGTCATTGAATAGAAAGTTACACATCTAGAGAGAATTCCTCTATCACGGATGTTCCTAACATATAAAAAACTCCTATGGTAATTCCTTTTTTTCAGTGTGAATGTAACGTTCCTTTACAGAAAAGTTTATGTTTCCTTCAATAGCCTCTAAAAAGGTGGTATTATAGATGCAAGAACTGTGTGTAAATGTTTATTTTTACTTTACTTGCTGGGGTCCAACCCCAGCAGGTCCAGGGGTCCCCAAAGGTGTGGACGGAGTCGGCGAAGATGGAATGACACGGAGGCAGCCTTCGGGTGATCATCATCCTAGCCAGGATCTCTAGCCAGGATCTCCAGCCAAGTTCTGGTCTGGATCTCCAGCGAAGTTCTGGTTTGGATCTCCAGCCAGGTTCTGTGTCCATGTTCTCTTGTTAGGTTCTCCAGGTTCTCCAGCCAGGTTCTGTAGCCATGTTCTCTCGCTAGGTTCTCC